CGTTCGCAGCAGTTTCTAGCGTTTGGGTGGACGGATATGTCTGGGACTTGGTATACGTTTTGCTATTGGGCTGTAGATGGTGCACGTTGTTTTTGTTTTTTAGTATGTGTGTTTTAGTGCGTGAAAAGGATGCGTTTTGACAGCGTATGGACACCCCTTGTGTGTGAAAGTGGTTTTGTCTTTTGGTTTTCGGCGTGTATTTGCTGTTGACAGCATGTTGTGCATGTATTTATATTTCTTTTGTGTATCCGTTTTTTTATATTCGCGGCATGCGTGTACCTTGGTATTGTTTTCTTGTTTGCTTATTCGAATATGTGTACACATGCGACCTTTGCTGTTGACAGATAATTAATAACAAGCATACTTATAACGCCGGTGACGGTTAGAAAGAACACAACTGTGAATAATCTCCGCCAAGAAGGCTATGTTTTCAGTAGCATGTGTCCGTCTGCAGCTGTCTGTTTGTTTGTTTGTTTGTTTGTTTGTGAGCAGCAAAACTCAAAAAGATTTATATGCATTATCATAAAACTTGGTAGGTGGGTATGTCTTGATGAGACCTAGAAATGATTAGATGTTGGGCCCCCTGGCGGCTTTTGTTGGTACTGCAGCAGAACTTCCGGTTTTGATATCTCATGATCTGGACATGCTAGGGTCACGAATTTTGGATGGTAGATAGATCTTGGGCCAGGGAAGCATGTGACGTGGGCTCCCTAGCGGCTTGCTCTGGAACTGCAGGGCTATCTGATTGAAAATATTCAAAAGAGGATATCTCAAGAACCGGTTGACGGATCGTCGTGATGTTTGGTTTGTAGGTAGCTTACGTGATGCTTGATATAATTCTGTGACAATTATGCAAATATAGATGTAATTGTCATAATTCATGGAGAAATTCTTTAAATCAGCAGCATTCCATGATAGGACTATTGAAGCTTGACATCGCTAATTGAGAACGAGAGAAACACAGGCAGATTTTGATTATGTAAATGAAGTCTTAAGTTGCATAATTAATGGATAACATTTATGATTATGTAATGATAACTGCCTGGAATTTCATACTTGTGGTATTTGAAATTTAAAAAAAATAGACTTCCACGATCTCATACCTTCGCGAAATGATGTTGACCTTTACAACTGACGAATTATAAATGTTTCTAATTGATTTTGCAAGTAAGATCCTCATCTTATTTACATAATCAATGCATGAATTATATCAGTGGTGGCCATATTAGGAACCTGAGCTGCGGAAACTACGGAAGATGGCACCGAGGCTACAAGATATCCAACTTGTAGAAGGAAAAAAATCACAAAAAAACGACCGTTACTATAGCTACTAGAGTAGCAATTTGTAAATAAGAGTTGCGTTGTTTCGGTTGCTGTGTCGACCATGGCCGCATGGCGTCCCGTGAAAATTGTGAACTATTTCCTGGGACGCTAACATATCGGTATACGAAGAATCATCATTTTGCAGTGCAGTACCTTGTAGAATTCTGTACCCGGACTTCCTACATGAACATCAAATGCTGATGATCAAATAAACAACGCTGGAATGAAATCCTCCCACGGTGCGATTATACCGATTAGATTAGATTATCTTGGAATACTATATGCAAGAATGATTCTAGACTGCTACACCGAGGAATACGTATTCCTTTACACTTATTGACTCTTCTCAAACATGCTTAACGCACCCTCTAAAGAATTGTAGTCCTTTCCAGTAGGGCCACACGGACTTAATTTTATGGATGACATCCTCTGAAGACCCCCAAACTAGTGCGCACGGGCGAATAAAATAAAAATCCGGCCAAAAATAAAAATGCTACTAAACCACAGGAATGGAAAGGCAAAGCTGGTATTGTGAATTTGCGGCAGAACTGCGGCAGAACATAGTGACATATACGACAAGCCGGCACATGCTGGCTTTTTGCGGATTTATGAATCGACACTGTACGTATGTACTGAGGTCTTGAGTCGTGGAGCTTTGGTAGCCTGGGTGCCATCCTCCAGAGTTACCACCGGCTCCGTACTGTCGCTATCTAGCAAGCTACCATGGACTATCCAGGCCAGAGCCTCGGATGATGTGATCTTTTTTTTTAGAACAGGCGAAAATCAATGCGCGCGCGGATGTCAACGTCATCCATAAAATTAAGCCGGTGTGGCCTAGTAGCATACTGGTCGAACGAGATTTGAAGTTCCATTTTCCGTTTTCAGAGGCATACTTGCATGTTCCACTCAAGAATTATTGAGAAAAAAATATGACGTCCGGGTGACCCCCTCTCCATTCCATATACATATTTTTCCTGACCACTTAGAATTCAGATTGCGTTTTGAAATGTCCTCCTAATTCGTTTTGGAATTCATTCAGTAGTCAGCACACCGTCCCCAAAACGTTATTGAATGAGCAATAAGAAATCCAGGCACGGGAGCAGAGTAAGACGGTCGCACCAAATCATGGAAACAGAGGTCTTAGGCAATCTCTCAGCAGCACAGACAAGAAGTCAGAGATGTCAAACCTCGTTTGTCTGTGTGTGTGTGTGTGTGTGTGTGTGTGTGTGTGTGTGTGTGTGTGTGTGTGTGTGTGTG